AACGGGGTGCCCCTACTAAATATGGAGGGCAGGCGTCACCTTCCCGCCCTGGCGCAGGCCGGTGAGCTACAGGATGAGGGCAGCAGGTCTTCGCTCAGAGTGCTCGGCAGCTTTGGAGGGTGCTGCCATGTTTATCAGGGAGGGTTGTCTTTCTAAGCATAGAAACTGCTGGAAAGATATTATCGATACCAATTTAGCTTTTTTTAAATAAACTGCAAGCCTCAAGCAGCCTCATCCTTGCCTCAGTTCCCAGCTCCCCTCTCGGGCCAGGGTTGTCTCCCATGGGTGCATTGGCTCAGCGAAGTGTGCCAGGCCAAGCCACCAGGCCAAGCCACCACGCCACCCAGGCTGGCAGCCCGGCAGGGTGAGCCGGCTGGGGCAGCAAGTTGGGAGCAGGCAGGGCTGGAAACTGAAAAGGACTGACACAAGGTTTGCCTGGTTTGGTTTGCCCTGAGGACACGCACCCTTTGACAACACATCTCACCATTCACACACCTGGTTGCTGGCATTTGCTTGCAAATATGCCCAACCCAGATAAATGAGATTTTCCTCTCTGGCTGTTCCCAGAAAAGATGTGGGAGCCAGCTTTACCCTCACAGTTGGCTTGAGGCCACAATGGTTCATCACTCCGTGAGGAAACCTGTACCCCACCCCTCTGGGAAAACCCCGGTGCCCAGACCCTCTGGAGAAGAGAGGTCTGGGGATGGCTACAGTAGCCAGAAATGCAACATGCTGCCTGTGGATGTGGTAGAGGTTTGACTAAATCTGACTTGCCACAGAAACTTGTCTATGCCTTGAAACTAGGCAAATACATTCCCTCTTTTCATTGCTTCCTTCTATTGTTTCTTCCCACACTCTCTTCTGAAGCCAAAGAGGCGAAGCCTGTTCCTAGTGAGACCGATGACATGAATCCTCCAGTGCAGCTTCATGTAATGCTGCGTAAGTGGGATTTGTCCTATCTTAATGTATGCATGCGAGTCCATCTCTGAATGCTGCAAACTTTCACTCGTACTTCTAGGGTCAGAGATGTTGTAGTGAATCATCTCAACCTGCTTCTCATAGTTTGGGTGCTTGCTTTAAATTCATGCAGTGGTCAGCCTATAAATATTCCCCAGGCTTCTGTGTGAGCATCAGTCCATCTTTGCTTAAACAAAACTAATGCCCTGTGATCAAGTTCTCTCACCCATGCACTGGCAAGCTTTGGGGTTTTTTTCTGTTTTCTCACTTTTAAATGCAACAGAAACACATGTTTTGAATTTTTTTTTTTTTTTTTTTTTTTTTTTTAAGTCATTGATTAGAAGAAAGACTAAAGTTCGTTCTCAAGTTGCTTGGTAACACTCAGCTTAAAACAACAGGAGCAACATGTGTGAAAATGCTGTGCAGCAGTGTGGTCCTCCCTGGAGGTTTGATCACCAGGCTCCCATTTTTCTCAGGTACATCAGAACTCACCCAGTTATGTTGCTATCTGCCTATACCTGTGATATGGCAGATGAAAAAAACAAAGACAACCAGTGGTACAGAAATCTACTGATACAGGTGGCATTGCCTCCTAACAGTTAACTAGGACAAGAAACACAAAAGCTGGCTAAATTGCAGAGCTTAGATTGCCTGTAGAGGCTCTCTGTTGTCACCAGGGTGATGTTCTTTCCTTCTACTCTATGAGCTATGTGGGGCACATCTTAGATATTTCTTAGCTAAAATAGCTTGGTAAAACCAAGCATAGGAAATGCAGCCAACTTTGACACATAATAAGCAATTAGGAATAAATATGTTTTAAATGTTACTGCATAATCTACAATGGAATGCTTGGCTATATAAAAAAAAAATAGGCAATCTCTTCTCAGCCTTCAAGTACCTGTAAAAATCTGTGACTGCTCCTAGTTTGCAGTCTGTGCTAAGAGTTTATTTACACTAGAAATAGCAAGAAGTTAAACAATCAAGGAGAGAAGCGCAACGTTTTCAGCTGTGTTCTCTGTGCCCCTCAAGATACTTCAAGAGACCCTGGCAGTGGAAGAAGATCCAATGAAAGTACCATTGGGCTATTGCAGAGTTTGGATCCATCAGCAGTACTTCTTCCCTTCCCCAGAAAAGACAGAAGGAATTGGCTGGCAGATATGGAGCAGAACTGGGCAAGTACACAGATAGGGGCCATTTTCAGAACACTGAATTCTGCAGGGAGACTGGCATTGTCCAGGGAATGCTTGAGTAAACTGCTTTAACAAAAAAACATTCATTCCTTCTTCCCATGGCAGAAAAGGTGTATTTTCTACTGAAGCATCTAACAGCGGAGAGCAATGTTCCAGGTCCAAAACAAAGCAAAATGAGATGCTGTCTGAGCTGAATTTAATATTGCCTTCCCAGCTTCCTAACATAAGGCAAGTTATGTGCTCTGCAGGGGTTAAATTTGCTTGTGTAAAATCTGAATACGAGCAGAAAGATCACAAATTCAGTGGGAATGAAAATGTAGAAGAATGCTACCTATGCTTATACACTAGAGTGCATAAAATTCAAATTGCTACTATTGTTAACATCCTCAGATGCAGGACTTCCTCTCCAAGCAATATCAGTAAGATACAAAGCAATTCTGTTCTTCTGGAGTCATTAGTTTATCCTTCGATTTTACATCTTCTTCACATTGCCATATCTCAAAAGCAGAGCACAGCACCTTACTGGGACCCAGGGCTTCAGTGCCACGCTGTACCACCCTGCTAGCATTAGAGTAGCTACAACATTGAGCAACTATTGTGAGCTTGCAAAAGGAGCAGACTCCTCAAGCCCTGTATTTCTAGGCCAAATAACTAAAGTAAAAACTTTCCCATTCTTCTGTTTTCCTGGAAGAATCACAAGCTTGCTCAAAAAGTGAGAGAGGGAAAAAACACAGGCTACCTACATAAGCCCCAACTTGTTTTGTGTTTTAACAACTGAAAGGGAATGCTTTGAGCTCTGCTTCCCCTCCTCCCTCAAGATCTCCTGGGGAGTGCACAAAGTACAATAATTAACTTTCTCAGGGAGGAAGTGAACATTTTCAACAAGAACTTGGACACCGCCCGTGGAGCTTCGCACAGTACGTTCTGTCCCCTCCAGGCTGCACACTAAGCTGGGCTCATCCCGGCTGAGGGCCCGGCTGCCCAAGTCCCAGCCCCGTAAAGCCAGAGGGGAAGGTGGTCTGTGTGTGGTGGAGAACAGCCCTGTTTAAGGTGTCTTTACCCTGCTTCAAAGCGTGACATGTTTGACAGCAATAGGAGACCCAGCTGTCGCCACTCGCTGTTGTTTCTTCCCAAAAACTGCTCTGCACGTGGAGGAAAAGAAACCAGAGCAGGGCTTAAGAGCGTTCTCTCTTCTTTCCTGAGCCCTAAGTAGCCATACCAGGACGAGACAGAAGGTGGCACTCGAACATCACCAGATGAACAACCACCACGCTTAACGCCTCCAACAGGGGCGAGAGTTACAATCAGAGTAAATTAAAAAACCAAAACCGGGAAAAACCGAACAGCCACTCGGGCAGGGGGTAAATGTTTTCACTATCAAAGCTTCAAGTTTGCCATTAATGTTAATGTTTTAAACTTTGGACTGTAAAGGCTAGACACGTCAAACAGTACCTGCTAGCTGTACTCTCCCCCAGTTCACAATACAGCCTGGTACTGTAGTTGATGTTTTTCTTGGAAATAAAAAGCAATCTTGCACTTGATTCCACGTGACAATGGCATTTGGGTGCGACCACCCTCCAACTTGCCTTTGGCGGCTGGTTACCACTGGGCAGGAAACTGCTCAGAACAGCCTGGTAGGTCACAGCAAGGTCTGACCTCTTCCACCCAGGAGGTACCTAGTGGTCCTGCAGCCGCTGAATTGTGACCTCTTGTATGAGGCTTGCATAAAGAAATGAGCAGATCAGGCTTCCACGTGGTCATCCATGTTTTGAGAGTTAACTTTAGCTCTCGTGTGTTCATATTCAGTACTGGAGCTAGTATTGTAGCTTCCTCAAAATGTTACATTTCATACCAGTTTATAAAACGGACAGCTTTGCCAGGTAGAAGAGAAGACTGAAGAAACTCAGGGAGGAAAAAAAAGACTAGACTATTAATGTTACCTTTTAGCATTTACTCCCTTTTAAAAAAATTAAAAAAAAAAAAATTACAAGCTGATAGATTAGCCAGGTTTATGAAGAACCAGAGGGACAGAAAGATCATTCTTCTAATTCATTTAGAAATACATCAGACACATTTGTATTTTACAGATAGGAAAATGAAATTGTTTTACCATTTCCATAGGCATGGTTTTTTCTAAATTTGAGAAGTCTTGTTACAGCTGCAACACTAGGAAGCTTCAGAAACAACAAGGGTCATCTAAACCAGATAAACCCAATACAAATGAGCCAGAATTTAAAGAGCTTAATAAACCAGCTGTCCACTTCCTAAAGCTGTTCACTGAAGACAAGCTCTCTCTCCTCAGTCTTATTGCCAGTGAATATGGTTATACTGCATAAAGTGACATACTTGCATGATAAAGACCTGCTGTTTCCCTGAAAGCTATCTTTTAGCTGCAGTAGAGCACAAACAATGTGTTATCTCTGCAGCAGCAGCAGGATTAAGGACCCCATTGTGTTAGGTCCTCTTTGAACGCAGCAAGACAAAAGGCGAATGCAGCCCCACACCTCAATGAAATCACCTTTGGCCACATAACGGATGTCTGAAGCTGAGGTTAAGGCTCCCTCCGGTGAAGTGAGCCTCAGGCTTCAGTGTGCTGCGTGGTTAAAGGGGGCAGAGAAAGAGCAAACATCTGATCATTTCACCCCACATCTCTTTTGCAAGAGCTCTTCCACCTCTGTAGAGATATGCAACCCTGTCATCTGGAGACAACACTGCAACAAAAGAAAGAGCCGTCTGTGGGTGCTCACACTAGCTAATACAATCAAACTCCTTCCATGGACGTACCAGCTTATCAGTACTGGTTGTTTGCTCCAGCCAAGACAGCATGCCTAGCTGCTCGCAAACAAGGAACCTTTGCCTCTGTATCGATATCCTCCCTGCATGAGACAGGAACCATATTTTTTTTATTCTTTGTTCAGCACGCACCGCCATTAGCTTTCGGTCCACAGGCCACACTGTAAGTAGAAAAATGGGAATTAAGCAAGATTTGAACACTTTTACATGGGATCCAGACTGCTTTTAGAAGGTGCAAATTCCTGAACAGTGTTGAAATAGCTGATGTAAAGACTCCTACCCTTATTAGGTAAACCATCTTCCAAGATCTGTCCATGTTAGCCCACTGTTTACTACTCGTGGTCAGATTACCTGCCACGCTGGTAACTCAGTTGTAGAGGTGCTTGACCATTGCCCTCCCAACACAGTGTCCAGGAGGGTTTATTTTCAGACGGGGAATTTTGAAAACAGACAGATGCAACAGGTGCAGCGTTGTGCTCGACCCACTAATTGTTTCCCAGTGCTGGGAGGCTATCGTGAAGATACTGAGTAGTTGTGTAGAGCTGTGGATGCAGCAAGACTCAGCCACAGGTAGCAAGTTGTACTGGGACCAGACTGTCTCCGCCCAGTTCATGTGTCTACACTGCCCTGCCTGCTAGTATGTTGTTCCAGCCCTCTGTTATTCTGGCTGATGGAAGAGCTGGCTGTGCCACATAGACACAATACTCTCATTTATGAAAAAGGAGACGACCTTTCCCCCCTGCCCCCAGAGGCTGCTTGATTATAGGCTAAGGAAGAGGTGCAGTAACTAATTAGCGCAACATAGTCAGTACAAAAATCTGGTTACTTCCCAAGTGGGATTGGAACCTATGTCTTCCAAAGGCAGCATCACCCCTCTAATACTGCCAAACGGGCAGCGATAAGCCAGAGGAAGCTAGACAGCTCTCTCAAGAGGCCCGTGGCCTGGCACACCCTGGGCACAAGGCTTACGACAGTAAGTCATACTGTCTATAAACTATTGCCAATACATCAGTACAGAGTCACTTAAGAGAAACACAAATTGGCTCCACATCACAGAAAAGGAAGACTGTGCTTTTTGATGATGTACTGGTACCATGCCTTTCTCAGATCACACATCAGGGCCAAAGGCCGTATTTGTGCACAAACAACTGCCGTTTGCATTTTTTTCAACCCTGAGGGTATTCAGATAATTTATAAAAATTTTCCCTGTACCATAAGGCCAAAGGAAATCATTTTCCCTTCTGGAAAACACATCTTCCCAGAATACTTCTGCTCAACATTTCAGCTGACATATCCATGTACATGATGCAGCTGCCACAACACACCAACACAGATTTGATGAGGCTCTTGTAGCTGTCAGACAAAGGAATAAATACAACAGATGCATCACCAGGCAATGGCAGCAGCAGATGAAATGAAGCACAGATGTACATGAGAAAAAACAGTGTTTTAATGATAAATTAGCAAGTAAGAAAGGTAATAATCAGTGAGTTCTGTTTGACATATTTAGGATCTTTCCCACATCAGATTCTTAGTTTTCAATTAGATGGTCACTATCATGGGAGAAAAAGTGTCATCTTTAGGACTTATGCACCCACCAGTAGCATTAGTCTGAGAGCAAAGTTTGGGATCCCATTCTTGGCAACACTCATTAGCAAGTTTTTCTGATCAGCTAATGACTTACTTTCTCTCATACAGAATAAGCATCTGTGGAGTACTTGACACAATCCTTGGAAGCGATGCATCACCACCCAGCTGTTCTATGGCACTTTTCAAGTCACAAAACCAATTTTTGGTACAAGAATGGATTTACGTTTCCGCTTCACCGCTGACTTGATTTCCAGTCCACTCATGGGACTGCTCACGTAACTGATATGCCTCTGTTTTATGTTTCATTAAAAACAAAGTCACTCCATATCCTGAAGTTGCTCACAAATTTAAGAGTTCACTTCTAAAAAAGCAAGCCAAGTCACCTTGTCTGTGAGGCATAAATCCAGTTTACAGTCTCCTTTCACTTTAAAATTCCAGCCACTCTGTCATATAAATACAGTTTGATGGAGAAATCTCACCACCTTCATGGCAATCATCGAAAACCTGCAAGAGAAAGTCCTGTGTCAGCAGAGTAATTATATACAGCAAGCACAACCTAATCGGAAGTAACATGCTTGCATGTTTTCTGCTCCTTCCCCAGTAGAAAAGCAGCAGTCCAACAGAGGCCAAAGTCTGGGAAGTCCTATGCCAGCTCTGAGTAAGAAAAGCAAAACAGACCCCACTGTAGTAAACAAACAGACGCACTGCCAAGTTTTACCTACAGATCAGTTCACAATCCAAGCAGGAGAGACCAAAAGCTAGACAGAAATAAGTTATCTTGTTAAAAAACATGAATAGGCAAGCTCGGGATCAGAAAATAGAATAAACCAACTTGGAATGGGCTACACTTGACAGCACCCTTTCACATACAGTCCAGTAAAGAGACAGGATATAAGTGGGAAACACCCTGGTCTAAACAGAAGAACCTGCCTCTTACACCACAGCTAAGGCATCACTGATAACACTTGAAAGCATAGCTGGCTTGGAAAGCCATGAGGATCACTCATGGGCATAACCTTGCAACATGCCTGCTGGCCAGTCGCAGGACTGCATTCAAAATTTGCCTGCACCCACCTACTCACATACAGAATTGGTTACTTACAGGGCAGAGTCCACAGGGTGTCCTGACTAATCCAGTGGGTTGTATGAGAGGACTAACAGCTCTGTACAGCTTCATCTGTCCATCCACACTGCCTACCGTCCCTTCCTTTGCAGCAATAATAGTCATCTCCACTTTTCCATCATATATTAGTGTATTTAAAATGGTTTCAATATCTTCCATTGACAACTCTACCTAAGAAACAATTTGTAAAACAAATATTAGGAAAGACACATGCTGGTAAGTCCTGCAAGGAGGAAACGAACAAACACCATGCGTAACAAATCCTTAGAGTTCTAACCCAACCCAGATAAAGGCACCGCTCTCGCTGGGCACTTTATGGGGCTGTGCAGATACAAAATGAAAAGCAAATACCAATACCTCCTACCTCCCAAGCACTTTTGGATTACGTTAGCCTTGGCTTACCAAAAAGAACTTCCCTATGCACCTCAAGTGTATCCATCATCCTAGCACAATACATTGCCAGTTTTACAGAAAAACAATCGTGGAAGAAGAAAAAGACAAGACTGCTGAAGATACACCTTTTGATGGTGACCGATAATTGGCAGGGGTTTTTTCCTCTTTTTTTCCCCCTTCCCCTAAAACTGCTTTAGGCAGTTTTATATAGGCAAACTTGAGAGAAATTATAAAATATAAACCAGTTGAGACCGGAGTAAAGCTTACTTGGAGTAAGTTTTCCTTTAGCATCAACATAGATGTGAATGCTAATTCTTTTATACATCTTTGAAAACCCACATGTACAAACTATCCTGGAATCCCATGCAGCACCAATGACCCTCCTCAAAAAGCAATAAAGCAGCAAAGCCCACCTCCACTACAGGAACTGTAGGGTACTAAAGCACTTACCAGACCCTCACCAAATCTGAAGGACCCAACTCCTATAGTGAGTCACACACTGACAACTTTGACAGTAGTAAGATTCATCTATTCTCACCTTACTGATACCGAGTTCACAGATGTATTTCCACACCTCATGGGATGAGGCAAATGAGCTGTTCCTCTGTATCATGGGGTTTTGTTTGCTCTCTCGAGCTGCCTCTGCCTGAGAAAAAAGCAAAGTTAAGTTACAGTACTCACTGCCAAGAGCTCCCGTTGTGGTTCAGTTTCAGGCAAAGTATAAAAGTTGATTTCCAAATTGTTTCTGGGACATGTTTTTTATTTAGCATTTAAAGCTATGTCCTTAAGACTGATGTATGCAAGACAATGCAGTGCACAACCAAACATAATTTTATACTAAATATGACAAAATTTACACAGTGATTTAGATTAATATGAAGGAATATCAGCATTTGGCATTTCGTTGACAAAAAAAAAGGTTCCTGCTGTACCTAGCACCAGTTAAAATATATTTTAATGAAATAGAGAAATGCTGCAATCTGCATAGGACTTATTTAATGGAAAGCAGGCTTCTCCTGCAGTTAAACTAGAGAAAAGCCCTCTAGGCAGAGCTGACTGACTACTGCCTTCTGCCCTCTCAGAAATGAAGAGCTCTGCAGGGAACACAGTGACTTTTGCTAGAGTTTTTTGTCCTGGGTTCTTTGCTGCCTAGCTTGTCATTGGCCCTTGGAGATGGAAGGCTTCACTCCCTTCACGGAGTATGAAAATATGCATTTTTAGAACGCAACACCATCACACTTGCTGTGACAAAAATAATAGTCCAGTACAGACTTGCCAATCCAGTTATAACAGTGGCCAACACTTACGGAAAACACTATGGAAAACTTAAGCCTTGCCTGTCACTGGTTTTATAAAGACAATAATTACTTGCACAAAACAAACGGAAGGTGATTTCAGCCATGGCACTCACCTTGCCCTGTAGAAATTTAAAACACTGTTGATTTAACACCTCCACAAATTCAGACTCAAAGTCTTGGTCACTGTACCAAGCTCCACCAGTCACTGACCGGTCAGGCTGCAGGTTATACAGCATATACACCTTCTTCTTGGATGCCTGTTACAGAAAATTCATTAACAGCTGAAGGTCTTCCTTAAGAAAGGAAGATTTAAGAAGATACCCGCAAAAAAGATAGTTCATTACTACTAAAACCAAGGACACAGCAACCCAGCTGACTTGAGCTATCCTTAACATGTTTGACCCTCAGGTAACATGGCGATAAAGGGAAGATCAATATATTTAAGATTCCTAGTAATTTTATAATATAGTGTTAGACAATCCTACTAACAACATGCATACAACACAAACCTCGCTGAAGAAGATCTCAGAGTTTAATTTCAGCCTATTGACTCTAATCCCCCTCCACAGTCAGAGGAGGGCAGGAAAGCATCTTTAGAAGACAGCAAAGGCAAAGTTAATGAAAAAGCTTTCAGCTGTTTCTGCAGGATTCAACTCGCACACTGATGACAGGAGGACCCTCACATGATTAAACCCTGCAGCTAAAGTCAGCCCTTGCAAGCCCACTCCTCACTGTCACCCCTAGACCGGGTGAATGGGAATGCTGCTTCAGCCCTGGTGTTAGCAGTCAGTTAAAGGACAACGGTTGTCCAAAGGACTACTCAGCAACTGCTGAAGAAATTTGAGCAGCATTAAGTCGCCTGGATGACTAGATGAAGCCAGCATCTCTCACAGGAACACGAAAAAGCTACTGCTTCTCTATGTCCAACTTCTTTATCTCAATTTTATTTTTATTTAGGAAGTTACCCTCACCTCTCACTCCCCTCACTGCCCTTCCAAAAAATGCACGCATGCAAGCCAAGATATTGCCTCCATGGCACAGACGCGACTGGCGCATAGAAAAGGCACACAACATAAAACTTGCAAGAGTTCACAAACAAGTGGTCTTCCTGGTGTACCAGGCCCTGCAACAAGACAGAATCTCTGCTGGAAACCACAAGAATGTCCGAAGAACATGCTAATACTAATGATCTGTAACTAAGCAGGCAAGGGAGACCAGGATGCTGCGTAAGCATTGTAACAGTGTGAGAAAAAAACATGCAAAAGGTTAAGCCCTACTCTGGTACATGGACTGTTTGCACATAAGGTAAGAAAGTATTTCAGAAATCGGAACAAAGTAGAGGAACCAACACTAAAACAGAATCAAATGTCTTAGAAATTGTTTAAACTAAACAATACAAATCCCATATGAACCAGATAACTGAAGGGAGTTTCAGGATCTCCAGCGGAGAGGAACCTTGCAAGGCCACTTGCAACTAGGCAACCATATCACCAAATGTGTTTTAGCTCAAACCAGAACAATCCCATACAAAAGGCTGAGATTGCTTCAGTGTCTGAAATATCAAATTGCAGTACAGCGACACTGGGACCAATGGAGAAAAAGTAATTACAGGCAGGTTGCTTATTTGAGTGGAGAAAGGAGAAAAGGGTGGTAGAAAAGATAAGAAACAAAAAAAGGAGAGTAAGGTATAAAAATTAAGAGAATAAGAGAGGGCAGGATTTGCAGACAGCAGGAGTGTGGATGCCTATAGACAGCAGAGAAGCTGGCCTGCAGACCCAAGCCCATCGGGATGCTGGAGGGAAACCCACCAGACTCTTCCCTAGGTTTATGTCCTAAAGACCAGGTACGGAAGCGCAGAGAAAACGGTGACAGAACTGCAGATTAGTAGTAAGCATGCCAAGAGGTTTGTGAAGGGTAACAACTATAACAAGTTGTGTGCAATTAAGAGACCCAAAACTCCAATTTGATAGTAATGGTGTGTAATTAGTAGTGGTGGGAAGAGTGACAGAACCATATATTAATAGTGATGTGTTTATTAATTACATTATTAATCAGTGTGTTGATTATTTAATAAACATTATAACCTCTCATATCTGTTGCACCTCAAAGCTGCATACTAAAGGCAGAGTCAAACACTGGTGCATACTCAGTGAGAAAGCTGCAGGCAGGACAAGGTTTCTCTGCTCCCAGTCCCCTGTTCCAACATACACAGCATGCAGCAAATGTTTGAAAATGTGAAAAAAAAAAAGTTACAAAATACTCACTGCCACAGATTTAACTGCTTTAATTAGTTTCTTGCTTTCCAAGTTTTTTAGTATCTTGTTGATCTCTGTTAAAGGCAAATTACTTTTGTATCTAATGTCCCTGCTCCAAATACCTGTTTAAAATCAGAGAAGTGAACAGAAATCAATAGGAGAAACCATTTGTTTCTGTACATACTCACAAACCAAAAGTCACATCACAACATTGCCTGACTCGCTTACCAACTATAGGATGTGTCCTCAATCCCACCACTCCTGGCAAACAGGAGGGAAGGGACAGAAGGGGGTGGAACAAAGAAAACTGACAAATCCAAGAAATGCATACCACAACCACCAGACTGTCCTTCTGCACTTTACCTCTCTCTGACAGCTCTTACAAGTGGACCCCATTTCACTGCCAACAGGAATACATCACACAAATGTTCTTTCATTTTTAGGTAACTTGTGTTTGCTTCAACAAAACTGTGACAGGCAGTTCTACCTGCCATCTCTCAACCATAGTGTGCAACGACTGCTGAGAAAGCCTAGTCACTAGCGGTTTCTGTTGGCAGTACAGCTGTTAAATCTGATATAGAGATCAAATTTTAAGTAGGGAGTGTTCTGTGGGTTCCTCAGCTTGACAGTCCCATAGATAATTTGTAATTCATATTCCAAATATTCTGAAAGAGCCCTCCCCAAAAGTCAGCCAGGACATGTTGTTGTTGTAACAGAGAAATATGTCATCTTCTCTTTTGTTTTTAAAAACCGGACGCATGGAACATTCGCTACAGACCTGGCAGGGGCCATCTAGATTTTATATTTGTATTGTCTGGACAAGCATTTAAAAGTTGGGACAGGAACAGTTCCATAAGTAAACAGAGTTAGTAATTTATTTAAACTACCTTTGTTGCCTGCATCTTCTATAATTTGGTAAACCAGCTTCTCTTGGTTGTCAGAGCCTTTCATTTTACTGTAAAATAAGACAGACATCAGAATTTTTCAAAATGTCCAAAATTTCAGTTTAAAACAAATCCAACTTCTCTCAAAACAAGTACTATGAAAAAAAAACAATGCACAAAGGAAAAAAACCAAACTCTACACAATAAGCTAGCCATTGGCAAATGTAATACATGACACTAAACCTCTCTAGATCAAACCAAGCTTGCCAGTGAGAAGCCACAGTAAAGAGAAAAGAGCACAGTATGAAAAAAAAGTGACTAAGCAGGAGTCACTCAACTTGTCACAACAATGGGGAATTCGGAGTCATGTATTAACACAACTGTGGAAGGTCAAACACAGCACAGAGCATAATTTAGGATAATCTGTCTCTAGACAGAACATCTACAAAGGGATGGTGGCATGCTCCCAATGCTGAAACATGCCTTCTCACTGGTCTGGGAAAGCCTGAACTCGGCAATCTTTTTTTGAATGCATTTGAAAAAGAGGGTGACATGTCTGCACTGGGGATAATTTCGAAGGATATTTCTTTCCACGAGTATGTCTAGGCATCCCTTACTCAGATTTACATAGGCATCACAAGACATGGTTTAAAGGTACCTTTTAATAAACCAAAGGGCCTGAGTTCAAGTGGCCTCCCGAAACAGCTGTAAATACAAGTGCTGACCCTGTAACATGAGGAGTGAGGAAGACCACAGAACCACAGCTTGCAGATGGTATGGTCGGGCTTCAGCTGGATTTCACCTGAGCACATACATACCTTTGCACAGACCACTTTGTCATCATCTGGATCAGGAGCTCTGCTAGCAAGTTAGAATTGCTGTCCCGCGGCACCCTCTGTTCAGTAGAAACCACTATACCCAAAACAGTTTGCAGGGTCAGCTCAGGGGAGTTAAGTGTACCCTCCAGAAACAAGCAGTTATGTCCTGTAACATCCACGTTACAGAACCCGTATTACTGAGTGTCTTCTCAGCCATGCTGCACATGAGTTGCAGAATTGTGTTCCAAAGGTATTTATCCAGCAAACAGCAGTCTTACCTTGCATTTTGAGACTCTTTGATTCTATACAGGAGACCTGCATTGCTCCTAAGAAGGTCCAGTTGCCCCTAGGAGAGATGGGCACAATGCAGTTACTTTCCTTCAAATAGCTGGTTTCAGAACAGGGCAAGAATCTTCTAAACTTCTAAGACAAAACATTATTTCATGTCAACTGCACAAACAAAAGGGAAAACTAACATGTCTAACCACTGGAAACAATAATACCCTTGAGGATATTTTTTCGCCCCCGACAAACATCCGCTTATCATCAGCTATCAGAAATGACAAATAGTTCTCGACCCTTCCCGCAACATCTCTACACATCCTGTTATTTCTCCTAACTTTCACATTGCACCAGAGACATCAAGTTCTTGTATACTTTTCCATCCCTTTCCACCAAAACACTCATTTGCATGGCTACCCAGAAATCACATGGGTGCTCTGCTGCACAAGTTTTGAACAATTCTGTGTCCCAGTAGCAAAGTTCTAACTTCACAAAGTAGACATCGCTGGAAAACTGCCAGCCAGGATTGATAAGTACTAGCATCTCTCACACACAAAACACCTGTTCTGCCCTTGATACTTGTGCCTAGACCAGGCAAATTCTTATTTCCTATTTTAAAGAGGCAAGCAATTAGGCAAGCCCAAGACTGTAACTGTGTATAACGGCATTAACTAACATTCACTCTTTCATCCATAGCAAATCCTTTCCCCACAGTTACCGCCTTGCTTCTTACAGATTTGCATTATGGGGCTGATTGAAGCTCACACAAGATGACCCCCTTCCTTGCTTTTCTACGGATTAAGTACTTGCAGCTTAACTCAAGTGAAGTACTTGAAGCTTATTAAGGCTGAGCTCTCACTGCAGTTTCTCTCCATATTTGAAGTACTTACTAGATCTCCCCACACACTCCCCAAGGTATCTATTTTAAACAAATTATAGAGACTTAACTATCCTTGAAGCCTCATTTGAAACCTGCCCAGCCCTTTCAAAAGTTATTGAACATGCAAAGTCACATCCAATGTATTGATAAAGCTCACATCTGTAACAGAAAGACCAAAACCAGGGAGATTAGATTACTTCCAGTGCCACCTAATATGGTCCAAGCTAAGAAGTTTTGGTTATTAAAAAACAAAAAAAAAAACAAAAAAACCACCCAAACCACTACACCATGCTCAGTTTGGATACACTCCAACACCCCTCTTTCTGAGAAAACAAGTGCCCCTCTTTTCAACAGTACTCTCTTGACTGCACCACTCAGTCTACTTTATTTCCTGACTTCACACACTCACGAAGCAGCTAGCTATGGGACCAAAAGGAATCTTGATCTTTAAAGACCTTGCACATTTAGCTGATACTTAAGTTTACACCACACTGAACCAACGTGACTAAACAGCCAATATCTGTTCCTGAATGTGTGGCAGAAGTAGCTGACTGTTATCCTCACTCCTGTCTTAGGCTGACTCCTTGTACAGTCAGGGGAAATGCCCTGTGAGAGTGGGAAATTTTGTCACAGGTTGAGGCTGGGCCAGCCACTAACGAATGACCCTCTCCCAAGACACTCTCAATTGACCCCTCTCCCTCCCCAGAAGGGGAAGGGAGAGACAATAAGGGAGAGAGACTTTACAGTTTGGAAAAGAAAACTAAAACAGCTTTAATGAAACAATAATAAGAAAAAATAATAAGAAAATATATACAAATATACACAGATGCAATATGAACCCAACCCCACCCCCCCCAAATGACAATACATCGCCACTGACGCTGCAGGGCTGGCACTGGGGCAGTCCCAGCCTGCACTCGGCAGCAGACAGGATGCAGGAGCTGAATTCAGGAATGAACAGATCGGGATCGCAGACAGCAGAACAGACACAGTTCTCCTCGGATGTCAGCCATCAAAGAAGAAGTTAACCCTCATGATCTCTCATCTTTATATTGGATATGATGTGTATGGGATGGAGTACTCTGTTGGTCAGTTTTGGGTCATCTACCCAGCTCGCTCCTCCCTGCAGGTGCGACCTTTCACTTTGCTCTGACCCTTTTTCACCTCCGGCACCTCAATATGGGACACAGAATTTTGCAGTGACCTTGGTCGTTATAAGAACACGTATGAGCAAGGGCCTCTCTGCACACCATTCCTTGGTATGAACTACAAACATGGAGCATTACCACTGCTAGAAGCAGTCACTGTCTGGAAAAACACGCTGTTGATTTCAGAAAGTGCAGTTACTTAGAAGATACTTAACTGAAAAGTAAAATCACTGAACAGCATTGCTTCCGTTTTAGCTCAAACCAGGACAAATTTACAGAAGATGAGAAAAAAAATCCCTGGAGATGTGTTTCACTTGCTTATTATCACAGTAATCCACAACCTTGGGATTTTGTGAGGGATTCAAAGACCACCTTCACAGGTAAGAGCATGGGCTAACATCCATTCTTTTACCTCTGGCTAATTCATTCCCCATCATTAATGGGCCTTGTGGCTATCACCTGCGGCCATCTTTCCACCTGAAAAACTGCAACCACCCTTGCACCCAACGGCTGCATTAGACCACTGTATCACACTCTGCTTTACAAAGTAGCACACAGGGAAAAGACCACCAAAGAGCTCTAGACACATCAAAACCACAAAGGTGGTACTTCTCAGTGGTAGCTTCCTCACCTCGAAATCCATGTGCGTACACACGTTCATGTTAACTTCCTATTACAGAATGGAAAGAGTAAGTTGAGCTGTTTTAATTGGCTTTGGCAATCGTAAGTGCTTATAGCAACCAAAAGTAAGTGATGGTAACTGTACACTATGGCAAAAGCTGCTAAATCCAAAGGGATTAATTTGCTAGCCCTGCCCAACAGGTTGCTACCATGCAGACTGTGTGTTCAAAGGGCGCTCCGTGTTGGCTGAGGTAACATGAGGAAGGCGAGATCACCCTACCATCGAGAGCAGCCTGTTGATCGCCATGGCTCGCTGCTGGGCTTCCATGTGAGGCATATCATTTTGAATGACCTGGTCAGTGATACCGTGAGGGAACTGATGACACAGCTCAATAATCCTGGGGGAGGAGAAAAGCAAATCAAAAATCATGTTCTGTTGCATCCAAAACCAAATCCAAACAGTATTAGAGTCAGAATGGAAGAGAGGGAAAAGAACAACCCAGGGAGAAGTACCCACGAACTACTTCTTGGTCATATCTATTGAGGGAACTTAGCATCTACTCCCTGTGCTGACAAATATGCTGCTGCAACTGCTGGACAAACGACCTTCATTATTCATGACAACAGGGAATACGGAGCTCCATTGTACTTTTTTGTTGCTCTCATTATTAATAACATGGATTTAGAGCTACCTGCACAGTTTCATTATACAAAAGGTTCTGAGGGGAAGGAGTTGCTAGTGAACCGGAGAATGCAAATACCGGCGAAAAGACACAATTCCCTTTTCCAAGAAGGGAAAGGCACCAGGGCAGCCGAAGGGAACCCGACCCCATCCCTCAGGGCCACCTAAGCACTCCCAGCGCCAGCACAGAACACGCAGTGCCCCCAACAGCAGCGAGCCTCTCCTTCACGACCCCTTTCCTGACCAACACGCCCACGGCACCGGCACGCCCTGTACCTGCCGCCTCCACCCCCCCAGGACACCTCCCTCACCT